GTTCGGGTTCCGGTTCCGTTTCCCTTTCCGTTTCCGGCTCCGGTTCCGGATTCCGGATTCCGGCTTTTCCATACGCCCCTATTAGCACGCAGGGATGTCGGATTAACACAAGGAAGTTTAACACCAAAGGAACATAGCCCTTACAGAGCTTTAAAACACAGCATCCACCAACACAAACTTGACTTGAACTTTCAGTAAAACTAAACAGCCTCTAGCAAGAATAACAAACTGTCACTTGAACTTCAGATATCTTACGGCTTCCGCGAACTTGTAAACACAGAACCTGAAAATTAGTCAAAAGAACTCTCTTGGAACTTGTATACCGTTTGACATAAGGTTCTACAAAATACTAAACAGGCGAATAGTAGTAGCCTTTCGACATATTTTATGATTTCAGTAACTGATGCAAATCTGCTGACTTATGCTGAAATGTAAACATGCCTTAATTAATTATTCATGGCTAATCCAAAAACGTAGAGAACGTTCGAGAAAGTCACGCAACGCATGAAAGCAATTTTACTACGTAACACTCAACAAAGACAAAATGTCTTTGTGCAGCATTTTGAAACTTTAAATTCATCATAAAACAGTTCGAAAGGAGGGCTCACTCGTGAAATGTTTTTCAACACTCGAAGAGAAATTTCGTGTCTCTGCGCGGCCACGAAATATCCTCTATTTATTCCTCAAGTAATTAAAGACTAAACTCGAAGTGCTCTCAAGATATCGCGAAGTAGTCCGGTCTCATTTCGTGAAGTAGTTGAAACAAGCCGAAAAGTCACGAACTTCCACGCCCAATCTTGTCCCGAAACTAGAGCATCATTTCATAATTATTTTTCATTGCTCAAACTACCTTGGGTCGCAGTAGCGCAATCGGCTAATCCCTCAACTTAAGAGTCTCCTCTGATCTGACAGGTCACACAGGTGAGTCGGTTCAAACCCCGGGAAAGCCAGAATATAATTCTTTCTTCTTCGAAAAAGTTAAAGAATAAATCAAAGAAATCGAAGTGATCTCTAGATATCTCGAACTAATTCGGCTCTCGCTTCGTCAAATAGCCGAATAGAACCGAAAACCTACAGACTGTGCTTGCCCAATCTTGTCAAAAAATTGCAACTTTGATACATTCCTGAGCGTCGCGAATCCTTTACTTCGCGCTCCGCCGAAGTAATAACAGCATGCACTGCAATTTCGCTAGACTCCCGTGTGAGACACTTTCTTATCTTTGATAAGTTCCTGAGTTGGTGAAACGATGTTGTGCAAAAAAAATGCTGAGACGTGTGCGTCAAACAGCACGTTGTCATCAAATACTACTCCCAGGCTTTGTTGGTGGTGGTTCAATTCTTAGCCTTGCATTACCCATAATGACGTCGCTAAAGGGTGGACGAGTACGGTACATCGACAAGATAAGCATGATTTCAGTCTTATCATGATTGAGTTTAAACTCGTTTCTACACACCAAGATTGAAATCAGTTGGGATCGTTGTCATATTTACCTAGGGTGAGAATCGAAAAGAGAGGATCTGAGAAACCCATTAATTTAACGGATCAGTTATTTATGGAACGCTCCTTGACAATTTGCTAGAATTCAAGAAGGAGGACTGTGCCGTCTTGTTGCAATTAAGTTTCATATTGAAATCACTACAGTAGGAAACACGTTACTGAAGTGCAAAGTGGCATCAATCCTGTCACCTTACGTCCAAGTAAGAAAAAGCAAACTAGAAAAGAGAAAAAAGAATATTGAAGCAGATCAGAAACAGCAAGTTGGAGATTGTGGCACCAAACGAGCTTGTAAGACTTACACTATAGTGGAACTGCAAAGTGCGTGCCTTTGTTTGTAACGAATACAGCTTAATATGAAGTTCAGCAAGTATAAAGAAATGTGTATCATTCTCCACTTCATTTGCTATGTACTCAGTGAGTTCAACAAATGCTCTTGATTTATTTAATTTCTCGTCTTCCTCGGCCTTCCAAGCTGCTCCACTTTTCTTCTTGCGTTCCTCTGACATGTATGCCTATTTCGCACGTCAGTTCGTACATTTTCAAGGAGCGTTCTATAAATTAATGCTTGTACCGTTAAACCAGTGGGCTTCTCAAATCTTCTTTTGTTGATTCTTGGCAAATATAACAACGATCCCAGTTAATATATATCCCGGTGTGTAGAAAACATCTCAGCTTCAGAAACCTTTAACTAACCAGTAAGTTAATAAACTCGGCATAGTCATTCACAGTCGGCACAAAATATGAAGCGAAAATGTGGCTTTCTATAATAAATTTATCACCAAGAAGAGCTTAAAACTTCACTTAAACCTTTCGTGCTTCAAATTTTGCACAATTTCCCCTAAAAAACGGCAATTTATTCTAGCAGATACCTAAAGTCCATGAAAAGACACCTTCAAGCCGCCATCTTAAAAGGCTATTTGAGACTGGGTACGCGTCTGAAAACATTTTCCTTGGATTTTCCATTTAGTTGACTTGTTTTTGTCATTGGTTTCAATAATAATA